ACAAATGCTCTGTCCTTCTAAATAATTGTTCTTCGTAAGTTTCACCTGCAAAAAAATATTTCAACCTGTTCTTGTCTTAAGGAATAAAGTTTTCATCATCTTTGAATATCCATGTGTTGCAGAGCACCCATATTAGCTATTTAGTATAATAGTGCTGAAGGGTCCTCAGGGCACTCAAACCTGCAACAGTCAAGTGGAAGCCACAGTAAAAAGCAGAGCACGGTAGGCTCCCAGGTGATTTATGCAGTTGCTCCTAAGAAGCATCTTAGAGAGCTATTTCAGGAAGTGTGTTGTAGGACAGAAGACATATTAGCTAGATGTTGAGAACCAAACCATACATTACTAATACTTATCATGAATTATCTGGCAGCACAGAAAAGCACAATAAAACAGGATATTTCTTTTCTCCACTATTCTTTGTCCTATGTTTTCTGTTGGGATCACTTAATTTTATTATTCTTGTTAGTAAAAATGAAGATCCAGTACTAAAGCATTTAGGAAACAGCACTGTCTGCACTGCAAGCCATTAAATCTTGGTAAATCAGCCCTGGAATATCATCTTTTCTAGTACATCATTATCTTTTTGCATGGCAGGTTGCTCTAATTGCAAACTGTCTAGATGAGATCCCACCCGTGCATTGTAAAACCACCACAAAGCGTAATTGGATGAGTCTTAACCATTGTTGGCAGTAGTCAATCTCTTCTACCCCAGTGGCTTGTGAAGGTATTAAAGGAAAGAACAGCTTCAATGTGTGTAAAAGAAGGTATTGGCTACTTATTTTTACAGTGAGGAGAAATCCCTTTCTGGATGGGGAGGAGCAGGAATCTCCAGCAATAAAAATGTCAAAAAAAATCCATGAATCCATTAATGACTCAAAAATGCCTTTTATTTCAGCAGCTTCACTGAGTTGCCTGCCAGTAGCCAAACACCACACTAACACTCTGTTAAATTCCTTTTTTCCTTGTATTTAAACTGATTTTAAAATCTGTCTTCAGTTCCTGCCTAGCTAAAGGGAGACAGAGGCGATGTGCATACTCTTCTATATTGGACTCATGGCCATTTCTTAACTTCCTTTCAAATGTGTTAATGCAAACGGAGAACAAGGCACTCTGTGTAATTACTGGCAAGGGTGCAACACTTCACTGGATTTTAATTCCCAGATGAAATGTACACAGCCTGCTGCATAGGTTGTCAGCATGTCTCAAGAACAGCCTTGCGTCTATCCAAGGTGACCATGGAGTTCATCTCCCATGCCAGGCAGCTGGTTCCCAAACTTAGCAGCTCTTTGGAAAGCCATGAATGGCCATCCCTGTACTTGGACATTTGGCTCGAAGAGTTTGGTAAGGATTGTTTGCATGGGAAGATCTGAATCCAGAGTTAGTGACTGATACGGGATTACCTGCGTGCTGCCTGTTGTTGGTGTATGTTCAGGCGTTTTCCAAAATAATGGTGCTCAGCAGCTTGTGGGGTGGACTGTTAGGAACGTAGATATAATGGACAAGGTTTTTTTAAAAAATGTTTATTGCTTTTGCAAGTTTGTTCTTTTCCTGTTCCCGCTGTGAAAAAAAATCAACATAACATGGAGATGTTCAGATCTTTAAAGTGTCATAAAATGGGTATTGAAAAGTCACTGGCACCAAGAGGAAGCCAAAGAAAGCACCTCACTTTGTGTAAGTCTAGTATCATAAAACATTAAAATCCTTTCAGGGTGTGTGGCTTTCAACTCTCTCACGCCCATAAGAGTGGTAGCAACTAAATATGCCAGGTAGTTTTGCTTAAGAAATATGGTACTATCTATTCAACAATTTCTGTTTGTTTCCCAAGAAAACTTTCTAGTTAAACATTTCTCGTCAAAAGTACAGCTTGATTCATCCCTTCATTCATCTCACCCTTATTAGCTACTAACCTAGTTACTCAGGCACGTGTATAGGAAGGTTTGATCTCTTTTTTTTTTTTTTTTTTGAGTTGGAAAACTTCCATGGCAATGTAACAGCCATTTATGCCTTTGAAAATTATCACTATCCATTCCCATGCTTAGATAGAGGAAGTTACAGCCAGCGTTTACTGCAAGCACACTATCCCTTGTGGAGGTTATAATAACATTTATTAGCCAATACTGTTGTATTCACTATGGGATATGTATCTCAATGAGAAAGGGAAGTGGAGAGGGGAAGCAACTAATAGTATTTTACATATTTAGATAATTTTTTTGTCCTCAGAACTTCCCGTGTCATTGTTTTTCCCCTAGGTCTTTTTTTTTTTTTCCTTCTGTTTGGGGCTTTTTTTTACTGACAGATTCTTTCTTCTTTTGCCTCATCTCGCTTGGAGGGAGCCCCTTTCAAGTGGCTCCCACTGTGCGTATGTTGTTCCTTTAGGGTGTTACTTGAGATTTCTCTGAATAGTTCTGCCCATCCTTCTCTGAAGTCTTTAATCCCATGAAAAATCCTTCAGTAGTGGTTCCTACAGCTGTATTCACAGTTTCTGAGACTGAAATGCAATCCTCTTCTGGCATCTCCTTGGGTTATCCCCGGAGGTTGGTCCTGGATCCCAGGCGGACTGTTTGAAATGGAACAAAATCAAGACTACACAACTTTCAGTCTGTCCTTTTCCCTCCTGGCCTGGTGGAACCAAGGCATCTTCCACTAGTTCTGGATGGCAGGCTGAATTCAGAAGACGGAACTTTCCTCTGATGCGGGGCTCATTTTAGTGGCTTTAGTTTGAAATTCAGATGGTTTCAGTGTCTTTGCACTGAAAGATCTCCTGAAATAGACTGCTAAATTCAGATTACATACCATAGGAAGTCATGAGATACTGCTGCCCTCTCTTGAATTTTCTCTGCGTTGGGGAACACCAGTACAGTCATATATCACTGGAGACTGACTTCTAAATTATAAAATGCCCCAGAGCCGCATCAATGAGTTTACAATCTTTGGTTACTTTAGCATTGTAGTGTAACTTTATTCCTACTTCTGTTGAGCCTGGTATTGTGTGGTTGATTTCTCCGTATCTCATATTTTTCATTTTCACCTTTTTAAGTTCCAGGTTTTCCTTTTAAGGTCTAAGCGTTTAATTTATTTGTAAGTCTGTGGTTCTGCAGTAGCACTTGTAAGTCGCCATTCACTGTGCTGCTGAAATTCCCATTAGGCTCATAGTCATCCCCTGTTTTACTACTAGTACTGCCTTCTGTTATTACATACTAACTATGCTCCTGAGTTCTTTCCGTCCTAGGGCAGAAGGGATAAATCTCTAGGCGCATGTGTTTTGTTTGTTTTAAAGAATGAAATACTAGACAACAGAATTAAAAAACCAAATTATATTAGAAAAACTGACCACGTCAAACTGAAAGAATTCAAGTGTTCTTTTGCATCTCTAAAAACACCAACTTTTTCACAGATGTACAAGTTTGCATGGCTCTGTTCTTTTATTTGCTTTCACTAGTACAAAAATCATGTTACTCAGTTCAGTGAAAGCAAAGACCTGATCGTCAGTGGTTTGCAGCAATACAGAATAGACTGATCCCCCGGTTTTGTTTTTGTCATTGGAAATTATTACGCTGCAAGATAGGCTAACTTTTCTTGGAACTGCTTGTTTTTCCATAGGCTTTATTTCAAACTGGAATTCAAATTGTGTTCCATGCATTACCATTTCTTACATTATTCCTCTGAATTTTTAACAGCCTTATTTGAGTCGGCCTATGAACTTTCCCATCCCCCCAAATCCACTCTTATGGTCTGCCAGTCCACAAATCAACTTTGCAGTAAATGTTTAATCAGTTTATGGCAGTCTTTTTATGTAGGTTTCCAAAAAAGTTAGACTTATGAAAGCAGTCAGGCAGTCTGTGCATGTGTGTCCATCTAACCGTGTGGCTATCTGGTATTTGCAACAGGATGTTTAAAAACCTGTTGACCAGCATCCCCCCGCTCCAGAAGTGTAATGAAATAGGCAGCTGTATAGACGTCCCAATGCAGCAGGCTTGCCTCCTGATAGGAGAAAAACTCTACAAGCCTTAGTAGACACATGAGAATCCACTCGGGAATGAGAGCACAGAAATACCCAAACTGCAACAAACTCTTCAGTCAACTTGCGTGATACAAGACCCTGAAGAATTTGACGGCAAAACACAGATCCGAGCTTTGCCGTTTCTGCAGCTTGTGGATTGCACGGTGGCTGGGGACATCAAAAGAGATGTTTGGGAGGAAAGTCTCATCTTTTCACATTCTTTGCAGGGTCACTAGTTGATGTTTAGTTAGTTGATGTCATTAATGTTGATGTTTAAATAAGTCAGATGGAATAGGCTCTAAAGGCATCTATTTTGCCTTATCAGCTGTGAAAGCAGCTAGCTCAGGTGCAGGCATCTGTGTTGCAAACCCCTGTATGTGCATGCAGTCCAGTGCATCCCACTTCCATGATCTATCTGTAGGGGGACAGGAATAGGACCTTTTTGGAGGCAGGATTTTGTCTGTCACTACATCCCGCTCAAACCCACTGATGTCAGCTGTTTAGGAGCCCTAGGTTCGTCCCCTACCGCCACTGGGGGACAAGGCCTGCTCTAAGTCACAGCGGTGGAAGCAGACCCAGCAGCTGTTAGCGTGACTGTGCCAGTGCGCTCCGGCGAGCTGTCAGCGGCTGTGCAACTCAACCGGTGCTGTTGCGAGGGAAAATGTGTTCTGTAGAGAAAAGCACCTGGCCACCCCTACCAGGACTATCAGCCTCCCTGTGTGAACCTCTTCTGATTTCTTAAAAGGTGTGGCTTAAGCTATTTATTTTTGTAGGAAGACCTACTGTGCGTTAACAGGTAAGCTTCAGAAGCATGTATTTCAGTAATTAGCCCAGCTTGTTGCTAAATTAGATGTATCGATCAAGTGGTTCAAAAAAGACTTTGTCTTTAAACGTGGCTTGGTCGCGAGCGCGCACCGCCATCCTTGCTGCTGCTGCAATGTGAATGGGCTGGGCTGGGCTGTCGCCGCGTTGTAAGCTGTGCTCCTTTCCATGTTTGCAGGATTTCACACTCCCACCTCCGGGGACACCGAGGAGAGCAGCGTGGAGCAGGAGCGCTCCTCTTGGCCTCGGTAAGCACGAGATGGCCGACTCGGGCGGCAGGCACTGGCGAGGCAGGGCTGACCCTTTCGGTGTGGTGGCTGCCTCCTTGGTGAGCCAACTGTCTGACCAGCAGAAGATGAGTGAGTCACCTCTCAGCCGGTTCAGAGGGGTGTATTTACCTCCTGCACTGCATCCTTTAAACAAGACGTTAGTCAAGGGTGGCAAGTGGAAGGATGTGGATAGCGCCCAGGAAAAGCGCAGGTCCTTCCTGCATGACTTCTGTAAGAAATACAACAGCAGAAAGAAGCTGCGAACCCACCTCGTACACCTGGTGTCAAGAATTTACGTGGAGGACAGGCACAAGGTCCTGTACTGCGAAGTACCGAAAGCAGGCTGCTCCAACTGGAAAAGGGTCCTCATGGTGCTCAATGGACTCGCCGCTTCAGTACACAACATTTCCCATGATGATGTGCACTATGGAAAGCATCTAAGGAAACTGGACAGTTATGACCTAAAAGGGATATACACACGCTTGAACACGTACACCAAGACTATATTCGTACGTGATCCTATGGAAAGACTGGTATCTGCCTTCAGGGATAAGTTTGAACATCCAAACAGCTACTACCATCCAGTATTTGGGAGGGCAATAATTAAGAAGTATAGACATAACGCAAATGAAGAGGCATTGAAAACAGGATCAGGAGTTAAGTTCAAGGAATTTATCCAATATTTGTTAGATTCCCATCGCCCAGTAGGCATGGACATTCATTGGGAGCAAGTCAGTAAGCTCTGCTACCCCTGCCTCATCAACTATGATTTTATAGGAAAGTTTGAAACCCTGGAAGAAGATGCCAATTACTTTTTGCAGCTGGTAGGTGCTCCAGCTGAGCTGAAGTTTCCTAAATTCAAAGACAGACATTCCTCTGATGAGAGAACAAGTGCAGAAGTAGTGAGGCAATACTTAAAGGAATTATCTAAGGAGGAGAGACAGCTGACCTACGACTTCTATTACTTGGATTACTTAATGTTCAATTATACATCACCAACTGTATAGCACCAGAATAGCTTCAGGCTTCTATTAGATATTTATCATTTTGGGATTCAAAACAACTACTTTGATATTAGCCCTGAAAGGAAACAAAGTTACTGCTAAGTGGAGTTGTCTTGACTTAGTAGGGATTTTATAAGCTAGAGTGGCATCAATTGACATTAAATTATAGGAGAATGCACAAAAAAAGACCTGAAAGAGCATAAATTGCACTAAAATGCCTGAAAAAGCTGCTTTTACCATTATGGATTATACTGTGGAAGCAGTAGCGCAGCCAGCTGTTGCATTAGCTTACCTAATGTTCTTTTAATGGTTTAAGAAAAAAGCATTCAGAGTAGCATGATTCTTTTTTGGTGTGTCTGCTTTAGAAATTGGTTTTGAAACTATTTTTGAATGTATTTTTTACTTTCTGTCACTTATTAATAAAGAAGCATTGGCTAATTTTCTAAAACGTTTGCAGTGTTCTCAGTTGCAAGGCTTGGTTGTTTGATTACCATTGTAGCTGGTTTTAGACCTGATTGTTTTTTATTGAAGGATGCTCTTGAATACAAATGCATAGAACTACAAATAACACAGCAGCTCAACTGTTGAGCAGAGTAAATGTGGGTAAGCCTGTGATCTGAAGTCCCAGTCCACGACCCCATTTTGATTGATGCACTAGAGTTGACAAACATCACCCTCCTTTCAGAGAACTGCCACATACATTAAAATTAACATTTTAATTTACAGTGGAGTCAACTACGTGATGCATACTGTGGTCCCAATATTCAAGATAGTCTTCATCTTTGGTGATAAGGCAAAGTCTGAGGGTGGTAGCTATGGGACATTATAAGGTCTGTACTGAGAAGCAACTTCATTGCAACTGCTGTGACCGCTTTTGGTCTGCCGGTGCCCGATCATCAGCCCAGCTCCCAGCAATTCGTTACACAGAAGGTGTGTACGCCCTTTGCCTCCGAAACCCATGGCCTGGTTTTGTCCCCAGAGCTTCCTGATGTCACCCGTGTTTTGCTGTCCTTCCTGCCTTGTCAGCAGCCAGGTGGGGTGCATGCTGCAGCATTATGTGGTGGAATGGGTACTGCTGATTCACCCTAGAGGCAGTTGTGTCCACAGTCCCACAGTCCTGGTTATAAAAGGAAGAGGTACCTTCTCTCCTCCTCTTCCCTCTCCTCCCTCAAGTGCTGTCTGACCAATGCATGCGGTCGTTCCTGCAACCTGCAGTTGCACATGGCGTTGTAGGATGGGTGGTCAGGGTGTCCCAGGAGGAGGAGAAATCTCTGCAAAATGGATAGGGAGAAATCCCTATGCCCTTCCAAAATAAAGGTGACACCTATTATTTGCTTCCTGGAGTGGTTTGGGGCATCTTGCTCCAGCGTCTTGATGTAGCAAGTTGTAGAATAAGGAAACAGCCTGGCGGGAAACTGATGCAAGTAAAATATCCTTTTCCTCTGTTCCCAGCCACTGCTCACAACTAGCACTATTGCTGTCCTTTCCCTCATCTCAGGCAAATGCACGGCTTCAGCCCTTCCACAGGAGTAATTGTGGGTCCCTGCTGAAAGGAGAGACCATTTCCTACGTACCCTCGCTGCTCATTTCTCCCTCAGTTTTCTCCTCAGAAGAGGAAAAAAGCCACCTCCAGCCTCCGCGGCGCCAGTGTGTAACCAAGCAGGTTCTGCACATTTCTCCTTGCGGCAGGACGCGCCGCTCTGAGGGGGAAAGGTAAAAGCGTACTGGGCAGCCCAAGTCGGAGGTGGTGCTGTATGTGACTAGCAGCACCCGTAGCCAAAGCCAGCCTGTTCCCTGGGGCCGTGGAGCAAAGAGGAGGAGAAGGAAAAAGCCCACAAGCCATCATCACCATGAGGTGTGGAGAGGTGCAGGTGTTCAGCACCGACAAGAAGGTGCAGGGATGCCTTGGACAGGTAAACGCAGACACTGTTACTTTTGTGAGCGGTTGCTGTGCCTGGACAGACCCATAGGTGTTAACACCAGAAGTGTTTGGGATGGGAGATCCAACCGTTGAACCGCCCCGATGCATGCCTTTCCTTAGGTGAACAACGTGTCCTTAAATCTCCCCCTTTAGACTCAAGATGGTGTCTGAACCCCACCTTCCCTGCCAGAAATCCCTCCTGATTTTCCTTCAGGCTCCATCCCAGAGCAGGGAGCGCCGGAGCTGCACCGCTCTGCCCGGGGCACCATGGGGAGCGCAGCCGCCCCTCGGCCGAGGGCTCGGTCCCCGGGGCACCATGCTGGAGAGCTGGTTCCTTGCAGCTGCTGTCATGCTGGACACCAGTACACTGTCACTCCAGTGTTACGCACCATGCCGGTTAATGGCTGTTACCGAGTTCCCATGTGTCTTTACCCAGCACGATTTTTTTTTTTTATTTGGCCATGCACTTTCATGACTGTTGCTCTCAAGTGGGACTATGCATTAGGACATTAAAGAGCAGCTCCTGCCAAAGTTTTGATATTGTGTCATCCAACCTCCTAACTCATGTGAAAACTGCCTTAGATTTCACTTGGATTTGACCTTGGTGTAAAAAGCATCTTTTCCACGGATGCAGCGGAGCTCTCTAGATCCTCTGCTCTTGTAAGTATTGATTCCCATCTCAAATCCTGAATGAATCTCTCTTGCCTTGTAGGGAGGCCATTGAAGATGTTAAATAAAAAATGAATGTACACCAACCTTTGGATGTCTATATATTTGCTTTGTCTTGTCTATTGTGGATGTGTGTTAATTAATTGTTAATTTACAGACAAAAAAAAGGGCTCATGTACCAATATTTTCCAAAAAACATGAGGGAAAAAAGTTTAACATGCTAATAAAGAATGGAGGCCAATTTATATATGAGTTTTGTATGAATTCTTTAATTCAGAGAAATAAATAGTAGTAAATGACAAAGTCTCTGAAGAACTTAAGCTTCACCTTGAGCTTGGTTTAGTGACAAACTTTCAGCCTATCTGATCAGGGAATGACAGAGATTCGGGGGCGGAGGCATGTAATTGTATTGAAAAAGCTGTACAGTCTCATGAGATTTCATCTACTAACTGGTCTTAGATAAAGCTATTGTTTGAGTCGAGGGAGGGTGAAAGAAGTTATTAGCAAATGTTTGGCTTCTGCAAATGAGAGGGAAAATGGCATTGATTTGCATGCATCTGTGGACATAGACATCAGGTCCCTGGATTGTCATCTTGAAAATCTGGTACGGTTTGCATTTGTGATTTAAAAGGGGAGGACACTACTTAAGGCCTTTAAAGCATGTATGTGCACAGAAGCGTAATTGGTTTAGCGGCACTGTTGTTCTATGGGTCTATTGAAAGTAATTTAACTTCTTTGTACGCTCAACTTCAAATTTCATAGCCCCTAACTGCACTTAAAAATTCATTTTTTGAAAATCTAACCCAGACTTTTGTAAAGAAGAGCCTCTCCATAGTCATCTTCAGCGACCTAAGGGATTCAGATGATCTCAGTAGCAGAATCTAGATTATACTTTGCCTCATTAACCACATTTTGAAAATCACCAGCCTGCTTTGCCAGGAATTAAGTTACATGATTTAAAATTAACATAAGAGTTTAGCATAATTGAAGTGGGACTGTGATATCTGACTTATGGGATTATAAAGGCATAATTTGCAGCATAAAAAATAACCTCTATTTTTAAAAGTAAATTTTAAAAGGTCAAAGTGTGAGGCTGGGTTGTAACTTGGCTTATATTTTGTAAAACTGCTAGGCAAAAACAAAAACTGAAGGTCATCCGCTATTACTAGTGTAAAATCCCACCTCCACAACTGTGCACAGATGTTTGTTTTACTCAGAAAATGATATTGAATGTATGCAGAAGAGGAATGAAAATATACTCCACAACATTCGGTGCAATTACACTTACACTAAAGATCAGCTGCAGCATGCAGAGCCTCTTTTGAGGGCTTCATTACAGTAAATGCTTTTTAGTTATGAACATTTCTTCATCTGAAGATCTCTAAGCACTTTTCTAATGCAGGTCGGTTGTCAGGGCAAGTCAAATGTGCTGTAAAGGCATTACAGTGAGTCCGTCGGAGGGCTGGAGCTGGAGGAGAGTTCTCCCTTGGCTCATTTGTCTCTTCCAAACATCAGACAGTTGTGCTTCCCTCCTGAAAGAAAAACTTGATTTTTGGAAAAAAATGTTCCATATTTGCCTTTCTTCTAAAACGAATCAGTATTAAATAAAATTAAATTATTTTATTTAATAATAAAGTA